AGCAAAAATATACCTGCAGGCATCCTGGGGATGCCGGCCTCTGACTGCGGCTCCTGGGGCAAGCACGGGGCTGCCTTTGCATTTCTGCCTGCGTGGAAGTAGCTGGTGCAGCACGCACAGTGAATATTACATGAGGTGACGCAGGGGCTCTGTTTTTCAGCCCTGACTGTGGCCACCGCACAGTGTGAGGCACTGGGAAGTAAAGTTCTAAAAGTAAGTGGGAAAGAGAACAGATTTGCATTGTGAGGCTGTTACAACAGGGAAATGTCACAGTGGAGAGAGCTGGATGGGGATTCAGATTCCCACGTTGCTAATTAGGAAGGATGTTAACCTGCGCAACACACTTCACCTCACCAAGCTCAGCTTACTTGTGTTTAAAATGGAAATAAAATAGTACTGAGGATTAAATAAGACAAAATATGATTTGTTTAGTACCTTGGTCTTTGAACTGGAATAATTGCCCTAGTGCAGTAAACAAAAAATTTACGAGCACGTGGGTGCAGGTGATTGTAAGTTGATTTCCAGAGCTACTAATTCTATACGTTGTCTTTCCTAAAATCGATCTGTCTGAGAACCTGGCAGTGGACAATACCATGAGGTGGTGTTTGTTTACCATCTTTTCTTTTGCATCCACTGCATTCCAGCTTTACCAAAAAAAGACATTCCTCTTGTACATTTCATTCTGCATATGGAGTGCCACCCCGTGATGTAGAAGCTTCCAGGGTGTTAAGGAGACAGATAAAATATTGGGACTTTATATTAGTGTGAGTCCAAGTGGCACTTGGAGAGTTATGGTCCCAGGCGCATGTCCTATTGTAATTGAATTTGGTCTTGAATCCACAGGTTCTAGTCTACAGGAACAAGACATCTTCAGTAATAACAAAAGGAGGTTCCAGGCTAGGGACATCGTCATTTCCGGTAGTAGCTTGACCACAGCTGCCAACAGGTCCGGAATAGGCAGAAGACGGAGCACACCCTGGAGCTGACAGCCCTTTCTTAAGAACAGAAGAAAATGGCCAAGGCCCAGGTGAGGTTTGTTTTACCTGTTTTATCCTTTGTTTCCCAGTGGATCTGTGGAAGCTTGTAAAAGACAGTCTGGTTAAATGAGACAGTATATGTTACTAAAAATCAGGATCTGTCAGAAAATAAGTTTAAGTTATAATCTTAAAATCTGGGCAAATTAAGAAGTGAGATATGTAGGTCATGGAGTTTGTGCAAAATTCTTAATGTTCGAACATTGTGTAAGAGACCTTGTGGGGTTGCCTCAGCTTTGAATTGTGTCACCTTTTTTGATAGCTGTAATAACAAGAAAAACATCAAAAGTGTCATGATTTGCATTGTCTGTGAAGAGAAGGAAAGGCAGTTCTTCAGGGGAAATAAACACTTTATTGCTCTTAGATCTTAAGAAATTTCTTCAGAGAGGTTTTGTGCTAAACAGTGTTCGTATTATCAGCCTTGTAATAAAGGCATAGGATGTTCCCTTTGGTTGTTTCTTATTGTGTTCCTTGGAGTCAGCTAAGCGGGTAATGCCAAAAGCGGAGCTGGATTGGATGGAATTCTTCAGAAACAGCATGTGTTGGCTGGATGTGGTGGCTCACTCCTGTAATCCCAACACTTTGGGGAGGCCAAGGTGGGAGGATCACTTGAGGCCAGGAGTTCGAAACCAGCCTAGACAACAGTGAGACCCCATCTCTGAAAAAAATATAAAAAATTAGCTGGATGCGGTGGTGTACACCTGTAGTCCCAGCTACTTGGGAGGCTGAGGCAGGAGGATCAGTTGAGTCAGGAGTTTGAGGTTGCTGTGAGCTACGATTGCACCACTGCACTCCAGCCTGGGTGACAGAGTGAAACCCTGTACCCTCTCTCTAAAAGAAAAAAAGAGAAAAACAGTGTGCTTTGAAAACAGAGCCTTCTGGTAGTCTGACTTTACCCTGGAATAAAGCCTAGATCATCTGATAGAATGAATGGGCTGCTTGACCTTGAGTGGTCCTCCATGAAGAATTCTCTCAATCAAATTTTTGGTATTGATTTGACAGGAGCCAGCTAAAAGTTCCTCTTTGGTAACAGCTGGGAGTACGGATACTGACAGTGCTTCTTTCTTACCTTCTTAACCCCAGGTCCACAAAATGAAGTCAGTACCCATTATTCTTGTTTTGGTCTCAGATGATAACATGGCTTTGAATGCAAGAGATTCAAACAAACAGAAGTATTTGTACCAAAAGACAATATCCACTTTCACCCTTTTCCTGCCCAGACTCCAACCCAAAGAGTAACAACAAATGTTAATAGTTTGGGTCTCCATCTAGTCCTTTTTTATCATGGACATATGGTAGAATATATCTGTGTTTGTGTACATTTCTGTATATATACATATGTGTACCTACCCATATATAACTGTAAATTGTTAAAATTTTTTACATGTCTTGGATCATATTATATACATAATTTGAGGGCTTGAGTTTTTCATTTAAGATAATGCCTTGAAGATCATCGGTATCTGTGTATATACATTTACCTTGTTGATTTTAACATATGTATGGTAGGAGGTATGTGCTGTAATTTAACCCTGTCTGCTTTTGATAGATATTTAGGTTGTTGATAGTTTTCTAATATTATAAACAAAGAAATAATAAGCATTCTTATTGCATGTTTTGTATCTATGCAAATACTGCTTTAGTACTTTATCAGGGTAGGAAGAATTTGTGGAATTCCATGGTCCTATGGTACATGAAATAGTCACAGTGTGCATAACTTATTATGGAGAAAGTGATCAGAACTTGTCCCTGTTCCTCTTTTCCACATCAACTGTTGATACACACCTCAGATTGCATTGGAATGTGTTGTTATAGGGATCATTATCATTCGAGGATGTAGCTGTGGACTTCTCCAGGGAGGAGTGGCAGTTTTTGGACCCATCTCAAAAGGTCCTATACAAGGAAGTAATGCTGGAGAACTACAGCAACCTAGTGTCAGTAGGTAAGGACAGCGTCATAGTCAGTTACCTTTTCTTTTTCACTGGGTGAAATCCATAGGGTCCCTTAAATATTTAATGGTTTGGAGTAAAGCATTGTATGTTACAGACTTTTTTATTGTGGTAAAATATGTATAACGTAAAATTTACCATCTTAACCATTTTTAAGCATGCAGTTTGGTGGGATTAAATGCATTCACAGTGTTATGCAACCACTAGTACCATATATTTTCATAACTCTTTTCATCTTACAAAACTGAAATTCTGTACCCATGAAACAGTAACTACCATTCCTCCCACCTTCCCCAAGCCCCTAGCGACCATATTTCTACTTTCCGTATCTGTGATTTTGACTATTCATATAAATATAATTGTATAATATTTGCCTTTTTGTGACTGCCTTATTTCACTTAGCATAATGTCCTCGTCTGTGAGGTAGCACGTGTCAGAAACGCCTTCCTTTTTAAGGCTGTATAGGCTCTTTTGTATGGCTCTTTTGTATGTATGTACCACATTTTGCTTGTCCATTCATCTGTCAGTGGATACTTAATTGGGTTGCTTCCATGTTTTAGCTCTTGTGAATAATGCTGCTATGAACGTGGGTGTACAAATCTCTCTTTAAGACCCGGCTTTCCATTCTTTTGGATATATACTCAGAAGTGGAACTGCTTGATCATATGGTAATTCTATTGTTAATTTTTTCAGAAACTGTTTTTCACAGTGGCGGTACCGTTTTACATTCCCTACAGAGGGACTACAGAGGGCTCCGGTTTCTCCACAACCTTGCCAACACTTGTTATTTTCTGTTTTGTTTTGTTTTGTTTTTTATTTAAATTTGTTTCCTTTGTTTCATTTTGGTTTTTTCGATTGTCGCCATCCTAAGGAATGTGAGGTGTGTCATAGACTTTTATTTTCCTTCTTGGCCTAAAGTATATGTGTTCTTTTCCTGAGTAAAAGGTTTTTACTCTGTCAAAGTACAAGTAATGTCCCTGAAACATAACTCTGTCCAGTCTTCATGGATTCCGCAAGCATACATACTTGGTGCAGGTGTTCAGTGATTTCCTGTTTCTAGGGTATCAAGGTACCAAACCAGATTCATTGTTCAAGTTGGAAGAAGGAAAACCCCCATGGATAGTAGAAGCAGCCCATAGTCACACCTGTCCAGGTAAGTGAGTGAAAACTAAGAAAATGGGGAGTTGGCACGAAAATTCCAGTTGATCAATGAAGGGTTGATGCTTTTGAAATGCTGTTTAGAGAGCTTTTCTAACTGGTGACCCAGAATCCTAATCAAAACCTTTCTGTATCGTTGTTCATTCCCAGTGGGGCTGCTCTTCTTTACCTGCTGTCAAAAGATAATGTCCTTTTTTCTCTGTTGTGGATCTGATTACAGCCCATCTCATCTAGGACCTTGATTTTTTTACCTGGTTCTGTTTTTCCCAGCCTGCTCATGGCTTGTCGCACTTCTGTTCTTCTCCTTTCTTGCTTTCAAATTCCCCTCACTACCCATGCAGGTCGCTTTGCATGTAGCACTGGCTCTCTCCTTAGGCATATCCCTGCCCCCTTCTGTTTTCTTTCCTGACAGTCACCTCACCCTAGTTCATGTGAAAGCCCCCCACACCTGGTCTCTCAGGGCAACTCTTACCTACTTATTCACCCCCTCCTCTCCTACCTTTTCAGCTTCTGTTTTTTATCCTTTGCTTGATTCTTCTATCAAAAGTTTAATTCATTGTTAGAGCCTAAGCTCTGTTTCCTATACTGGAGACTCCCAAATTGACATCTCTGCTACTAATGTCTAATCTGCACTCTGATCCCCTGTATGTTGGCAGCTGCCAGAACAGCTGTCCAGCGATTTCCTGCTTCCTGTATGTGAAGACAGAATTCTTTCTCCCAGATATTTCCACCATCATAGAGCATATTCACATATACTGAAGATTGAAACTCTGTCTCCTGACAGCCTCAAGTTGACATCTCCCTTTTGGTCGTCTCACCTGCCCTCTAATTCTCTATTTTGCTTGCACCCAGGACAGTAATCCTGTGAAATCTTTCTAGAAGGTGCGGAACTGACAATGTGCAAGGCCATGTGAAGACTGTCAAAAGATTAGCCTGAAACTGGCCACATGGAGCCAGGGACCAAGACCAAATACATATTTATCATTATATCACAATATCTCAGCATCTACATAGAAAGTTAGACTATTGACTATAACGTTACTCTGTGATGATGTTTTGGGAAAGTTTTTGGTGTGCAGTTGGAATGAGAAGGGAAAGATTTAGTAACAAGTTGATTATTGAATATTTGACCTCAGTAATCTTGGAATGAGATGCTGCAGGTCTTACACTCTGATTTTCCAGTTCCAGACCTTCGTTGCTAAAACCCATGTTGCTTATTTACTTGATTAGCATAGACACGGTTTCATGTCTCTGGATAGTTTTTTTCATATTCTCTGTGCATATCCCTCTTCCGGAACTCTTTAAGACTTGAGAGCGCTTGAAGCTCTTACTCTCGGCCTTCCTCTTTCTCCATCCATCCTTCCTAAATGATCTCATCTAGTCCCATGCAGTTCCAAATATTTAAATAATGTTCAGATACTCATGACTTAAATTTGCTGTCTTAAGTTTAGAACTTTCTGCACACTCAGACCTGAGTACTTGATATTCTGTTTTGAAAATGTATTATTCATTTCAAACCTGACGAGCTTTTAAATGGAGCACTTGATTCCCCTCAAATGCCAGACCTACGCTTCTAATCTTCCTCATTTTATTAAATGGCACCAGCACCTACATAGTTGCTGAAACCACATAGTGAGGAGCTCTCCTTGATTCTTCCCTTTTCTACTTCCACCCTTCGTTCTAACAGTGAGTCTTACCTTTTTCTTCTCCATACGTGTCTTTTCCTTTTCCTTTCTGTGTCCTTTGTTTTTTCACATTTCTCCATCTCCATTGTAATTTTTCACGCTCAAGCCATGTGAACTCTACCGTAGCCTCCTGTCTTTTCTATAATTTTATCTCCAATTCATCCACCATAGAGCAATCATGTGACTTTTTGGAACTATCCATTCAGTACATGTTGTTTTCTTGCTAAAACATGTTTGATGGCTTACTGCCATTTTTCTTGGCATAAATTCCAATTTTTAACAAAGTCTTCCTGCAAAATCTCTATGTTCTCAATTCTGCCAGCCTTGCCCAACTTAGGTATTTCTATCTCACTCAAGCTCAGGAGATTCCATGTATACCAGCTTCTCTTACATTTCTTGATCATGCCTAAGTTTTTTCTTTCTTTAGGTTTTTGCACTGGCTGCTCCCTTTTCTTGGAATGTTCTTCATTTTGTTCTTTGCATAACATCACTCATACTTACCCTATGATGTCAGCTCAACTTTAGTTTTCTTGTGGATGACTGCTTTATCTAAGATTGACCTACCACTATTCTGTCGCCTCTGTTATACTGTTTTTCACGTTCTGTAATTTTCTTGCTTCTTTACCTACTTATTGATTCTCTTTTTACTAGAATGACAGCTTCGTGGAGACAGAGAATGTATTGTTAGTCACTTTAGTGTCCCAAATATGAGCCCATTCAGTGTTTGTCGGATGAATGGATCCATCCCCTCCATCTATTTGTGATCTATTCCAGTCACAATGTGTTTCTGTTTCTACTTCTGTCCCCATTTTGCAAGGTCCATTTTGGACAGCAGCCCAAGTTATATTTATTCATTTTAGACAACCCATCATTTTCTGAAGTATCTGTTTTTCCTTTTGCTCTTTTATGATACTGTCCTTTTTCACAGAGCATGGGGTACATTCCTTAGACTGGAATCTTATAAAAGCCAGCCAAAATCATGGCATTTTTGTACCTCCTTCTGAGTCTCCCCCAAATTATCGTGGATATTATTATTTTTCCTAGAAGAAATGTGGGAGATGGACCATATGCAGTGGCACCCAGAAAACCAAAAAGAGCTTAAAAGTTTAGAAAGATGTCAGCAAAGTTATGCCCTTGGAATAATTTTGATTTATGCAAAAGTATTGTTCCTTTAATACAAAGACACAATAAGTTTGACTCACATTGTAAAAGTTTGAAATCTCATTTAGGTCTTGTTATCCAGAATAGAAGACATGCAGGAAAGGATTCTGATGAATTTGGTGGATATGGGAAGTCATGTCTCCATATCAAGCATGATAAAACTCTTACTGGAATTAAATACCACAAATGTGTTAAATCCAGTAGCACTAAATCACAGCTCAATGACCACCAAAAAACTTATACAGGAGAGAAACCACATGAATGCGGTGAGTGTGGGAAAGCCTTCTCCAAGAAAGCACAGCTCATTAGACATCAGAGAACTGAAAGAGGAGAGAAACCTCATGGATGCAATGAATGTGGGAAAACATTCATGAGGAAGATTCAGCTCACTGAACATCAGAGAACTCACACAGGAGAGAAACCCCATGAATGTAATGAATGTGGAAAAGCCTTCTCCAGAAAGTCACAGCTCATGGTACATCAAAGAACTCACACAGGAGAGAAACCCTATGGATGTAACGAATGTGGAAAAGCCTTCAGCCGGAAGTGCCGGCTCAATAGACATCAGCGATCTCATACTGGAGAGAAACTCTATGGATGCAGTGTGTGTGGGAAGGCCTTTTCTCAGAAGGCATACCTCATTGCACACCAGAGACTTCACACAGGAGAGAAGCCTTATGAATGCAGTGAATGTGGAAGTACCTTCTATTTTAAGTCAGACCTGACCAAACATCAGAGAATTCATACAGGAGAGAAACCTTATGAATGTAGTGAATGTGCAAAAGCCTTTAGAAGCAAGTCAAAGCTCATTCAGCATCAGCGAACTCATACTGGAGAGAGACCATATTCATGCAGTGAATGTGGCAAAGCCTTTGCCCACATGTCAGTCCTCATTAAACATAAGAAAACTCATGCAAGAGAGAAAGCTGTAAATTCACTGAAGGCGGAGAAACCTTCACCAGGGAGTCATACCTCTTTGTATATGAGTGAGCTCACACAAGAACAAAACCTTGTGAACCCAATACCTGCAGGAACACCTTCCTCAGGAACCCAGCCCTTATTAAACATCAGGGAGTTCTTAGGGGCTAGAAACGTGGTGATTGTGGAACAATCTTTCCCAAGAAATCAAGCCTTACTAGTTAATCAGGAATTTGAACAGGGACTAAGCTTTGCAAATGAGGTGAATGTGACACCTTTGGTAATAAATTATGTCTTATATGTTCCAGATATTGTATAAGAAAAAATTCTCGATACTAGAAAAGTGGAAAAGTCTTAGCAAGAATCCTCTAACCTTTATTATCAGCATATATTATATGCTCTTTTAGGGCAGAAACTCTATGGGTGCAGTGGTTGTGGATGACATTTCTGTGAGCAGTTAGACTTATTAAGCATCAGTGAAATCATATTGGGTAGAAATGCAGGTGTTATGGGGAAGCCTTTGCCTGGAGATAAATCTTAATGGGTATGAAAGAATTCTTACAGAAATATGTAAGAAAGATTGTGATGGTATTTCAAGTGCTAAATTGTACCACATCATGTGTGTCAGAGAAATAGAGAAAGACAGCTGTAGACAGTGGATATGGAAAACATTTTTAGTAAAATATAGGAGAATTTATAGACAAGAGAAACCCCTGAAAGCAAGAAATGATGGAAATTCACCAGACCCGCTCACGTATCACACTTTTTTACCTTGGGAGTCTTGGAAAGACTTCCCTAATAAATGAAATCTTGAACACTAGGAATTGTAGTATGTAATGAAAACCTAGGAATACAGTGAATCTGAAAGTATAACTGTGTTAGTTTTTTATGGCTGCTGCACCAGACTACCAAAAATTTGGTGGCTTAAAAGAACACAAAGTTATTATCTTACATTTCTGGAGAGCTGAAGTCCAAAATGTATCTTCCTGGGCTAAATCAAGCTGTTGGCAAGGCTGCATTTCTTTTTGGAGGCTCTAGGGGAGAACCTGTTATTTTGCCCTTCACCAGCTTCTAGAAACTGCCCAAATTCTGGTTTGTGGCCTCCTTCCATTGTCAGAGCCAGCAGTGGCCATTCAGCTCTTTCATCACTCTAACGCCAGTTCTTTTGCCTCCATCTTCCATGTTTAAGGACCCTAGTGATTATATTGGGACCACGAGATAAACCATCTTAAAGTCATCTGATTAGAAACCTTAACTCCATCTGCTACCTTAATTCATCTTTGCTGCATAATTTAACACATTCCCAGGTTCTGGAGATTAGGACATGGACATCTTTGGGCTGCCGTTATCTTGCCTACCACAACGATGTTAGATATCAGAAAATTCATACCATGATAAATTCCCACCTAGCCATTCAGTAAATTTGGAAAAGCATATTCCTAGGGAAGTAATTAACTATAATAATAATAATCCAAGTACATTAACATTTTATTCTGTAATCATAGAATCTCATGCTGTGATTGTCATATGTGAACATTATGAAATGCTTTTGAAATATTAAAATCAAATCATCAGCACTGGAAAACAACTCTTAAATGTCCTAAAAGAACATGAGATTTATGCTCCTTGAAATATTGCCACACATAAATTTGTGTCTATTCTGAAATTGTATAAACTAACATATCCTGTTGTGAGTATGGAATGCATATGACATAATGCATCTAAATACTGACCAAATCTTTCATAGCCAATTCCAATAATCCCTTTTTCTTTAACAGTGTCTAATGTGTATACCCTCCCACTTTGAATATCTAAAAAAATACCAAAATATATGAATGAACTTCATTAGACGTTGGGGAGTTCAGGACAGCTTTCCCTGAGAGAAAGGAAACAAATGAAATGAGCCTTATGATTGCCCCAGCTTACTAACTGGAGAAAGTTTCCAGTTTGCAGCACAGGGAGAGAAACCCAAACAAATCCTAGCCATCTCTCTGAATTGAGCCAGAGTTTAGAGTTTGGGAAATTTTAGAGGGCCCATGAGTCAGATTACTGGAAAACAGCTGCATTCAGAAAGTGAGAGTGTTCCAGAGTTCTGTAGAGCAGCAGTCCCCAACCTTTTTGGCACCAGGGACAGGTTTCATGGAAGACAATTTTTCCATGGACTGATGGGGGCGGTTGTGTGTCGTGGGTTGTGGGAGGGTGGCATGGAGCTCAGGCAGTGATGTGCAGCCCACTTCCTAATGGGCCATGGACTGGTATCGGGCCATGGCCCAGGGGTTGGGGACCGCAAGTGTAGAGAGTTTACCCACAATCCTTTATCTAAGTCATAATCAGCACACGTATGTGAGGAAACTCCCTGGGCTGGAGGAAGAACCGTTGGAAATGAACAGGCAGAAAAATCCTGGGAGCTCACACGAGGCTGGGGATAATTTTTGTTTCCACCAGCTGGAATGGAAACGCCTGACATTTGGAGAATCACATTGGATCTTCAGAAGAGTGTTGCCTCAGTGGGTGGCTTTAACTCCAGACTGATGGCTGGTTTGTAGCCACCTCACAAAGCATAAATGCAAGCCACTAAAGGACCGAACTTTCCAAATAATTTAACAGCTTTCCAGAACAGAACCCAGTAATTAAAGGAATAGAAAGCAGTCCATTAACCAATAATGTACAATTTATGATGTCTGCCATCTAACCAAAACTTACCCAGGTATGCAAAGAAGCAGAAAAATATGACCCTTAACCTGAAGAAAAGTCAGTGTAAAGAAACCCAGAAGTGGCATAGGTGATAGGACTAGCAGAAAAGGATGTTGAAAACAGCTGTTAGAAGTATTCCATGTGCTCAAAAAGGCTGTATAAGGGGGATTATAAAAATCATTTACTGTATGGTTTCCTCTGCCTGAACAACAGGGGCAGAAGAGGCTCAGTGTGGGTGCTGGAACCTGTGCCCCAGAATGTTCGGCCTCCCAGGGAAGGGCTAGAAGGAAGCAGTTGCCAGCAATGGGGAACAGGTTCCCTGAGGAGAACCAAGCTCCGCTGAACTTGGGAATGGTACTCTACCCTGTGTCTAGTCCCTCTCCACCTTTTCTGGGAACTGAGGCCCCTGTGTGGGGCTGCTGAGCTTCCTGGGAAGTGTAGTTTGGCCAAGGGCGGAACCTGAGACACCTGTGCTGGGCTTCTGAGGTTTCTAGGAAGGATGGTTTGGAGGCCTCACAACTGTTTTTCTGGTTAGGGGCTGGTATGCCTTGACTGTTTATTCCCTAGCCAGGGGTTTCTGTCTCATATAGTTCATCTGCCTTTGGCTGTTTTTCTCCATATGAGTGGCTTCTACATGGGTGTTAGCAGCAGTTGAAGAAGGGACCAGCCAGAACCCTAACTAGTGGCTGCTGTGGTTTCTGTAGACAGCATGTGAGGGAACTGATCTTGGGTGAGTCAGTCCTGAGCCGGTCTGGCAGTTCTGCTCTGGCCGGGACGGACTTGTGAGTCAAGCCCAGTTGGTTCTTGGTGGGTCTGCCCCGCTCTGGGGCTGGGGTGGGAAGCAGCTCCACGGAATCCCCTGGGTGTGTGGGGTACATTTGCCCTGATTCCTCCTGCTCCAGTGGGCCAGACGGATCCCACATTGGGGGCTGGGGAGGGGACTTTGGGTGTGGGTCCCGCTGAGCCTGTCTCTGCCAAGACTTTCTTCCTTGGCCCCACAGGAAACTTCTTTAGGTGTCTGTGTGTCCGATGTGGTGTCCGGACCTGGCCTGTAACCAACTGTATCACCATTAACAGAAAACTTCTAGAACTATGTCTGCCATACAGTGCCTTGAGGACTAAGTGAGCAACTTTTAAATGGTGCTATTGTTACAAATGGGAAGGTGATTTAGGAATAAAGAATTTTGATTTATACACTTAAGAACCTACAACCCCTGGTGGATTTACAGATTTCACCTATTTTGTCTTGATTTCCAGCCTAGAACTTGGATCTCTAGATTGTAGAACCTGCCAGATCTCAGAGTAGAGGTCTAGTGTCAGCTACCCCGTTGGAAGTTGCCTGGCTCTGGTCCTGCAGGGGAGAAGGTAGTCCAAGTTCCATGCCCTTTCTCTGTGTCTGTTTAAGGGTAGGGGTAGAGGACCAGAAATTTTTTGGTATATGTGCCGACTAGTCTGATCTCTGAGGGCTCCTTTTACTCACCCTGGCCTTGTGCTTTCAAAAATTTGTCCTTCATCAAGAGAGGGAAATTGAATAATTGTCACAATTATAAAAGCTAGGCCCCTGTCTGAAATGCTTCTACCTTTGATCAGAGATATCTTCTCAGATGTTCACAATCAGAAAAGACAACAGCATAGGTCACACCTTGGAAATGCTGGTCTTTTCCTAAGATCAAGTCCTGGAACGGTTTTTCTCAATTTTGCCTTCTTTCCTTATGTCCTTAAGCCTCCTTATAGAGGCTTTATTAAAATAGCTATGAAATGGAAATATATACATTGCTAAATGCAAAATTTGAGGAAAAATAAACACCATAAAATCAAGATTCAGACAAAGCTAGAGTGAGGAAATGTAGGCCACAGGGTTCATACAAAGTGCCTTAAGTTTGACTACAGGCGAATAAATATGTAAGAGTAGATGGTGTACTTAAGTTGAATTACAATTTTTTTCTAATGTTTCTGGTGTTAATAATGCGTTAATTTTCTCTTAGTGCCAAAACAAATTCTAACAAACATTTAGCAGCTTAACAATGCAAATTTATTATCTCACAGTTCTTTTAGGTCACAAGTCTGGGTTAGCTTGGCTGGTTTCTCTGCTCTGTGTTTCACAAGACGGATTTTAAGGTATGGGCCAGCGGGGCTCTTGTTGGAAGGCTCTGGGAAGAGCCCATTTCCACACTTATTGAAGTTGTTGATAGACTGTAAGACCGAGAGCTCTTTCTTTGCTGGCTGTAGCAGGGTCGATCTTAGAGGCTCATCACAGCTGATGATGGTTCCTTCTGATGGTTTCCATCCCAACAATAGTGGATTGAGTTCCTTTCATGTTCAGATCTCTCCTACTTCCTTTTCTGTCTCATCTCTCTGAATGACTCTTCTGCCTTCCTCTTCTGCTAAATGGCTTATGCAGTTACTTGGGGCTTAACCAGAGAGTTCAGGGTAATCTCCCTGTCTTACAGTCAGCTGACGAGTAACCTTAATGACATATCCAGTGTTCTTTCACGCAGTACCTTACGTTTGATTAACAACAGGGGTAGGAATGTTGAGGGGACACCATCAGTATTCTGCATAACACAGATGGTAACATGAGGAGCACTAGAAGTTATAGGGTATGTATTGTTCATAAGGAGAAAT